CGAAATGGTGGGGAAATTTATAGGGAAAAAAGCATCTTCGTTGATGTTCGGAGCTCGAATGATTCCTTGAAGAAGTTGCTCGTTGATTAACCGACCTATTCTCGTCGCAAATCCTTCACGAAGCTAATAAGCCTAGAGCCACAAAATAAAGGGATTCCCATGGTTTCCAATGCGAGGCGGAATTAAAGGACAATCCGAGTCGAACAGCATTCAAAAAGCCAACGGGGATACCGATAAGGAAGCAATACAGTTCGCTCCTTGGACAAAAGCACTGGCATGGCTAATGTGCTCCACGCCAATTCGCTTGTCCCAATCCACCAATTTTCACTTCTACTCGGGACCGGTCATTTCGAGTATTTCATAAGTTTTATTTTACAAAGGTCAAATATTTCTTCTTCTTCAACAAACCGCTATTTTTTCTAGTTCAAGTTTCTACCAATTTTCGTGCACCGCAGGAATTATAGTTGAGACCTCTGAGCAGTACTTGGAGCGAGCAGTAGCCTGTTGAAAAGGTGGCGGGATGTATTTGTTCTCGTTTTGCTTCAGTGCTTTGCTATAGGTAACTCTCATATTTGTCTCGGTTAAAGAATGTAAGTGTGCTCATGGTCATGGAGTGCAGGTTTCGCCCATTTCTGTTTTTCACAAGCGTTTAGTGGATGCAAACAGGGCCGTATTCAATCCTACCCCCTGGCTAGGGGAAGTAAAGATCCCTTAGAGTTTATTGGTTTTAACGACACAGGTTCTCACTCTCGATACATATTTACCTTTATCCATGTGTATACACATACATTTTATTTAGGCTCCTTACCAGCGGCCGTATGCTGAATGTTGGGTAGGGGCTGGGGTCCCCGACCCGCGATGCTGAATGTTGGGGCTCCCAGCAGAGTTTCGTCGCGGGACCTTCAGGTGACAGGCCAGTCCTTTAATTCTGTGATGAAGTTTTTGTCTTTTCACTGTTCTAGGTTACAGATTCGTCCACGCACACATTGCCATATTGAAGTAATACACCAATGTGACACGAAGTAATAGAAGACGCGAACCAAACTTCAGGTCTAAAGTAGTGAATTGACAGACTGGCAAGATTATGGCAATATAGCTAGACGTACACGAACGATCCAGCATATATTATAATGAATCAAAGGATATACTAACGCAATTACAACATTATAGCTGTATATACATGGACAAATTTACAATAAAAAACAGGGAAAAAGGTGAAAAGGTAACCGTAAAATCAAAGGACCGGTTAGTGGCCGCCTGGTCCCGCGACGAAACTCGTCGGAGCCCACAACATTCTCTGACATCGCGGTCGTGGACCCGCAGCCCCTACCAACATTGCAGCATACCGGCCCCAGAGCTGTTCTATTTGGAAGTACGAAGAACATTTGCAAGGATCTTTTTTCCCCTAACTTGAAAGGATACGGCCCTAGAATGATCAAATAAGAGCTTATGGAATCTGAGATGTATCTCTACATGCTCCAAACGAAAAGCTTTGTTTAAAGCTCTCCGTTGCTTTGATCAGAGCGTTTGTGGAGCGAAGAAATGGTTAGCAAGTATATAGTAATTTGGCGCAATGTGGCTCGGGGGGGGGGCACTCTGAGAAAAGTCATCTAGGACTAAGCCTAAACAGCAGGGACGAACTCCGGAGAATACGAAAATTGCTTCCGTACACCGGAGTTCCTCTCCTCTTCAAAAGCTTAGTCCTAAAACGGAGCGTTTCCGTGATTTTGACGCGATGTTGCGAGGTGCCCCCCCCCGAGCCACATTGCGCCGGTAATCGAGTTGGATCTAGTGAACACCCTCGCTAGCTTGAGAGCATATGGTATTTTGCAAATACCGTCACGATTACTGTGTTCACGCATTAAAAACGCGCACACTATCAGAAGGTTGAAGCTTTCAGCGTTGGTCGGACCAATGTGGATGCGCCGCGCATTCTACTTCCATTTGTATTCGCAGTGGCATTTGAATGCGATGTGGCCTATACAATGACTTGCGGGGGCCAGCCGATGTACAAGTCAGTGTTTTTATCCTCCCAGACAAGTCTGGTACCAATTACCGACCCCGGAGGGATGGAAGGCTTTGTTGGCCTAGACGGCGTATAGTCCAGGATGATCCCCGAATTTATTTTATGTCAAATGAATCTTCTCGTAATCGAGAGAGCAACATGGGTGCATCGGGAAGTTTTCATCATTTGCGTTGTTGAAACTCGTTTCTCTATACTTCATTGTTGCCACTTTGCTGTTTCATTTCGATTTCATTTGTAATTTGCCGATTCTTTTTACCAAATTTCCAGTTTGGTGGTTTTCAGGTTCTCGACAATGGGTTCAGGGCAGTCCTCGCAAGCCCAGCAAGTGAGTATCTGCATAGTTTCACCTGTGTGCTAAAAATAAATGAATAATAAACGGTACTCTGGAATAAGAAGGCAGCTGAAGTGCTGAAGTATGATTTTTAAGGCTCCTCCTCCAGAATGTCCAAAGCATGCTGACCACGGCACAGTATTTATGTCTGAAGCTGAAAGAATAAAACATGCCCGTAGATCAATGGCTTCCGCAGGTTCCTTGTTTTCGGAATATTTTCGTTTATTCTTTTTCTTTTAATCATTTTGCAAAATTATTGTCTTAGAACTTTCCTAGTTTGTACTTTCTCTTCTTCTTATGATTGATTTCCTTTCTCATATAAAATCACTTAATTTTTTACTTACCGTTAGATGCTTATTTTTACTCTTTCAAGGAGGAGAATGCCCGCAGTCGGCTACGGCTGGAGGGTGTCCCGTCGGTGCCGAAGGAATCAGTCCTTTGAATAATGTGAGTCCCAGATATTCTTTATGCATATTGTCTTTTTTGAAAAGATTCCTGGTTTGTTTTTTCTTCCACTTCAATCGTGAATTGGCGGCAATTGCAACAGACCCTCCTCCAACTCCCAGTTTAGCTGCCTAAGCTGTCTAACGTGACCTGAGAGCTGGGGCCGTAAGGTATGCTTCCCCGAATGGTTGCGGGGACGAAAGTCCCTTTAAATTTTTTGTTTTGAACGATACTGTTTCTTTATTTTCAATGCATGCTTACTTTAAGCTACACACATATATTAGATGTAGGCCCTTTATCAGGACAATCCCAGTTGGGACTACAGAGAAAATTTAAAGGAACTTTCGTCCCCTAACCCTTCGGAAGCGATACGCTTGATTGCGCTCCTCTGGTCAGTCCCTGTTTCTCATTTTCATTACACGAACTTGCGCTCATCCAACTTACTCAGAGCGACTTTTGCCATGAAAATGACTGAATACGAACATAAACACATCGTGAGTCCGAACTGACACACAAATGGTGAACGAGACCACTTTTAAGTTAGAGGTACTAGAATTATTACGAAGACAGTTAGAGAACGGCGCCTGGCTCGGCTCAAATCCCAAGGAGGAAGGTGAGAGCCCTAGGACTAAGCCTTGGAGGGGGAGGGACTCCGGGTGGGTGAGCCAATTACAGTGGCAAAAGTTTGAATGTGTGAGATCACAGTGGTCATGAGCCGCTGATAAGGCGAGAGAGCGCAGACGAGAGCATCGGATTGAGGCGCTTAAAGGACCGAGTTCAAGTAGTCCGTCGACCTATTCAAGGGAGAACATCTGTTTTCCATAGTTAAGGATATAGGCAGTGGTACAGGTGTTCGTAGGCTTTGTTGAAACGTGCATCATTCTGATTTCTGTTATGGAAAATGTAACGAAAACCTTCAGGAACTAGAGCATCCAAATCAGAAGCCGGCGCCTGATCAACCATTTCCCTTACCATTGAAACGCGAAAAGTCAACGATACCTAAAGTGAGTTTTCTCGACATGATTTTATTCAATTCTGTGATGGTTTAGTATCGATTAGTTTGCTTGGGAAGATGTGGGCTTGGTGAGTTGCGCCCAAGAAGCTAATGCAAACACTCGTTTAACATTTAGGCGGGAACAAACGATACTTGGACGTACCCTAGTCCGCAAATGTTTTGGAATGCAATGCTCAAGTAAGTCGAACAGTGTATTTTGGCCTGAGCTGTCTATTTTTCTTCTGAAGCATATTCTTTTGCTTCGAAATCTAACCATAAGTGCTTTTTTGAGCGTTTTCGGCTGTTGTGAAGTTGGCTACACCGAAGACATTTCAGAAAGGGATGGCGATGGCAAGATGACCAGCTCACTGAGAAAGACATGGAGAATATTATCTTAATACATAACGCCAATAATGAAGAGGCATGGCGAGAGGTGTTGAAGTGGGAGAATCTCTTACATCCGTGAGTTTAATTATTACGTTATGCTATCGGCATTGCATTTCACTCTTTTTTAATGCTCTTCAGTAGAAAGAAACATATGCCAGTAGTTGAACCAAGCTTTTTGTAGTGCTTAGGAAATTGTATTTTATCGATCATGTATAGCTTAGATATTTGGAGGTTTCAGTCAAAATAATGGGCTCTTTGTACGAAGTCAAGGGCCGGAATACCATGTGAAATTCGCTGAGGAAACGCATGTTCGCTTGTTTTTGAAGAGGGGGTTTAGGTGTGGGTCGCTAGGACAGAAAGCGCCGCCGTCTCCACGTTTACATGAGATATTTCGAAATGGATTTTATATTAGAGTGTAAAGGATGACCGGATGTATAAGCTGTTTTTTTTTATTCTCGCAGCGAACTTCTTTCCCTTTTCGGACTTTACCTATGCGGGAACCCCAGGTCCATCATCATGGACATTTTCAGCAAGCCGCTCTTCTGGTTTTTCTGTCCAATAAGAAGCATGTGTTCACGTTTTAAATGCATGAAAGTTCAATTTTATCTCTGACTTATGAAATTTTAGAGAGTGTGCTGAACCAAAGCTGAAGAGTTTCAAAGGAGATGCGAAGAAGATTTCACCTCGCGCTCGTTTCCGTAATCCTATTTCTCGGATATAATCTTCCATTCGATAGGCATGATTGGATAGTTGATAGGTGCGGTGTGAAGGAGGTCTGTTGTAATCTATTGGTTGTGTCTCGTGTGATGAAATACATTCCAAAGTGTTGGTTTCAGGTGCAATACGTTATCGATTATTACGACGGCGGTTCTGTAGATCCTCGTTCGAAACTTTTCACGATTTTGGATGTTAGACCGGCAGTCAATGATCTCGGAAATATTTGGGATAGAATGGTAAGAGAAACCATCGCTTTATTATAATTTGTTGTTTATTTCATTTTTATGGGGAAAACCATTTTTTTCTGAGTTCTTGACAATTTCAATTTGCGAATCTTTCAGATTCTTTCTCATTCGGTCTTTGTTCTCACAAAAATTTTCGCGATGTTCAATTTTTTAGGTCGTAGCGTACTGGCGTTTCAAATTTGACGTTCTGGGTATGACACCGAAATTGCCTATTCCACCAACGGAAGATGATGTTCACGTCAGGCAGTGACGTAAGGTTCTTTCCTGTTATACTGTAATTTAGTCAATTTATTCGTCGGCGTAGTATTTCTTCGGAACCCGTTTTGTTATTTGTTGATGTTAGTATTTGTTTGATTCTGTGGTAAGAGCCCAGATTTTGCTCATTTAGTTGCTGTTCGAAAAATTCAATGCAAGCTGATGATGGTCTTCTTCACCTCATATCATGGTTCTGAAGTGCGTTTGAATAAGCATAGTGCTTCAACATGCTAGGATATAACCGAATAGCTTTCTTTTGAATTGTTAGTTGCTCAAGTTGATCGATTGTAGAAATAGAGATCCCGTAGATTTATTTAGATTTTTATATTGTCCCGGTGGTGCCGGCTCCTTTATAATGTGACATTCGTCCGTTTTATGCAGTCAGTAGTTTTACTTAGTTTTACCTCGACTCCACATAGTTCAGGATTGTGAGTTCGATCCATTAGGGTAGTAGTTGTTTTGTTAAAGACATGATTGTTTTTTATTTGTTTTGTCACTATGAGTGATTCTCGAATGTAATCAATAAAGAGTACGTTTCGTGGAGAACTGTCGGTGCTGAACTGCTTCTTAGCATTGGTGATATCTTACGGCTAGCATTAGTAGGACTGGAGTCGAACCGTTATGCACGGGGGAAGAATAGCTCAGTGGAATTAGTTGCGT